AGAAGAGGTGCGCCGAGTCGATCTGCTCGCCCTGCTGCTGCTGCTGCTGCTGCTGCTGCTGCTGCTGCTGCCGCTGGGCTTTTTCGCAACAGATTGCATCTTCGTCTTGCTCTTGCTGGGAGTCAAAGGTGCACTTCGGCTCGTGCGTGCGCCGGCACCTGCGCCTCTAGCCTGCTTCGCACCCCTAACCTCCTCCTCCTCCTCCTCCTCCTCCTCGCTCTCCTCCAGCTCATCCCACTCTTCCTCTTCCTCATCCCTCTCATCAGCCGCGCCTCATTTGGCAGCAGCAGCAGCAGCAGGTGCAGCTTTGCGCTTCTTGGACACCGACGATGCCAATGTCGATGTCGTCGAAGCTTTCGAAGCGCTGCCGCCGCCATTCTTGGCGGATCTGGGCGTATGATTCGCAACCGATCGACGCGCAGACGTAGGAGTCGAAGCTGCCGATGCCCTACCCTTTGCCGGCGAAGCGACCGCTCGACCAGTCGAAGACTTGCCCTTTCGCGGGCTAGCAACAGGCGAAGCTTTCGCTTGCGAATGACGTCTAGCCACCTGCTTTCTTCCACTCGCTCGAGCCGCAGTGGATCGATTGGGCCCCAAAACGCCTTGTCCCTTGCTCACCACCTTTAAGCCAGGAGTTTTGCGCTTCGCAATCTCCACCATCTTTTGCTGGATCAACATTTGCCAATTGGTCCAATCTTGCAGCGCCTCTTGCGCTCCATTCATCAAGCTGTGCTCCGGCTCCCACGTATCGTCCTCGGGCGGATAGCCGACCCACCTGACGCGATACTTGTTGCCCTTCGAGTCGGCCACCTTCTCCACCTCGTACGCGTCTTCTTCCGGCGCAGGTGGCGGCAAAATATTCTCCTCGCTATCTGCCGGCCATTCGGGCGCCACCACAGCATCCGTCACAGCTGCGTCGAAATCTGGCGGTGCCTGAATGGGTATACCCTTGGACGTTTGCACGCGCAGGTATCGATGGTGCCAACCTAGAGTCGCGCGCGCGCGCGTGCGGCGTAATCAGCGGCAAAAAAAAACTCGATGGCAGCAACAGGAAAAACTCACAAAGAGCATTCTCGAAATCCAATACTCGCAGGCCAGGTCGCAAGCCGGGCGCATGAGGCGGCGCTTCACCCAGTCGAGCCCAATACTTCCACTGGTTGCGTTCCAACCATCGCAGCGCAGCATTGTCCATGGTGGTGCTATTGATGGCAGGTCCAAAGATTCTTCGCAGACCCTCGCGCGATCCCGGACCGCAAGAAGCAAAGTCTCTAGCTGCCAACTTGAGCGTGGGGGATTTGATGAGGTCCATGACGAGGTTCATGGAGAGGAAGCCACCCATGCCCGGGATGCTCTGCACCAAAGCCGACGCGTCGCAGAGGTACTTGCACTCTTGTAGCCTACCGGCCAGGTCCACTTCCAGCATGACTTGCACCATCTTCAGCGAAGCAGTGTGGCCGCTCATCGTGCTGCTAGTAGCGCCAAAGAAGTGACGCGGTGGAACCATTTGAAACTCGCTAGAGTAGATGATGTCTCCTCGCGCAACGATGGGATCCAGTATCTGAGAGTATCGCTTGACATCGAAATTCTTCAGCGACGGCACCTCGTCCAGCTCCACCTCCCACCTGTTCCAGGTACGGCGATTGCAAAACGCATTGTTCAAGAAGATCCTAAAGCAAATCTGTTCGTGCGACTGGTCTCCCTTGCTGATCACGTCTTGCTGCATCGCGATGCTTCCGCGGTCGAGCTGTATTCGAGGGGGGCCCAAAATGGAGCGAGGGTGAGTCGGGGCATGTCTAGCTGGCGGCGCGCAAAAGAAAGCCGCTTCTCACCTGTCTAAACACGTTTCCGTAACGTCCCTCTGGTATGATGGGATCGTCGGTCCAAGGTTTGTCCTGCTTCAGCACCTCTTTACGGTGCCACACCTTGTGTCTCTCTGCGCAGTAGCGCAAAAAGTGATAGATGATGTCGCTGATGGGTGTCTCGACGGGCGCATAAGGCGCTTGAGGCTCGAGCAGAGCAGATTCGCTGTGATTCAATTGATTGACTTTTGCTTCGACTGCTTCGTCCAATTCGTTTTCCACCTGCCTGTCGGTTCCTGTGCGGGGGTGCATGAGCGTTACGAAGACCGCTCATCAGCGGCTTGCGCAAAAGGCGATCTTGGAGAACAGGCATGACGCTGGGAGTCTTCTCTTCGCGTCTAGATTGACCTGCTCACTCACTTGGATCAGCGCTGGGCGGAACGATTGGCGTGTCGTCGACGGGTCCAGTGGGCGTTGCAGCTCCAACTTCAGCCTCCGCCTCGACTTTTGCATCCACACTCTCCTCGATCGGCAGGGCGTGCACGACATTCAAAGAGGCGACCCCCTCGCCGTCTCTTTCGGTCTCGGCATCGGGTATTGGTGCAATTTGATGCTCATCCACTTGCATCGCCACAGCCGTACCAGCGTCAATCTCGTCAGTGCCGCGTAGCTGCTGCTGCTTCTCCTCCGTGGCAGCAATCGCGGCAGCATCAACCTCTTCCGCCTTCTCAGCTGGCATCTGCTCCGCTCCGAGGACACGCTGCGGTTCTTGATGCCCCAAGACTTCAAGGTCATCATTCGCAGACACAGCCAAGCTCTCTGCAGTAGGACGCTCGACGTCGTTGATCATTGCACGGAGCGGCTCGAGAGCGACTGCTCTCTGCGATCCCTGCACCTCCGCCGCGGGCCTGCTGTCCTCTTCGCCTTTCTGCGCTTCCAGGTGTGGCCTCTCAGCCTCAGGCGGCATGTAGCCAGACTGTGCAGAGACATTCGCACTGGTATCTGCAGCAGCCAAGGGCGCAGCATCGACGCCTGCAGCAGCAGCGGGCGCTTCCATCTCCGTCTTGGGGGCAGCAAGGTAATCCAGAGGAATCGGCTCTGGCGCCTTCACCTCGGTCCCCACAGCGTCGCCTTCCCGCAGAGTTGGCAAAGAATGCTGCCCCACTTGCGCAGCGTATGTCTCTCGCTGTGCTGCTGCTCCCTCTTGCTGCTGCTCCATAGGCTTCTCTGAATCCGGCTCTGCAAGCGCCATCTCTGCTCGCGCTTGCACCTCCGCTACCGCTTGCGACGCTTCTCCAACTCCTGGCACTTGCCGTAGTGCTTCTCCAGCCTCTTGCGCGTGCTGAGATGCATCTGCATCTGCATCTGAGCTCCCTTTCGGCAACGCCTCGTGCTCCTCTTGCTGCACACGCTCTTGTCCATTCAGGAAAGGAAGCGCAGCATCTACAGGTGGAGGTTGCGCTAGCAGCGATTCGAGCTCCTCTTTGTGCTGTTCGTGCTCGTGCCCGTGCCCTTGCCCATCAAGCGCCGCTCCATACCGCTCCACTTCGACGTTTGAGCCCTGCATGACTTGGTGCAAGAGCGGAAGCTGGTGTGTGCGACTACTCGAGAGTGGTCTGGTCTGAGCGAGCGAGCGAGTTGAGCGGAGTGCGGGCTAGTAGCGGGGGACGTTGGGGGATGTATGCGCTGGATGCGGGCTGGATGTGCGCGCGCTTTGGTGGGCTTTGGGGCGAGAGTGAATGCTTGCTCTGCGGCAATGCTCACGAAGGACCTCATGAGTCGTGAGTGCATGATGGTGGAATGTGTCAAGTGTGAGTGCACGGGGTGCACATGTCGTTTGCCTTTTTTGCATCCCGCACGCGCACGCGCTCGCGCTCGTCAGGTTCAATCACGTGAATCAATCAACAAGTCATCTTGCGTGCAATTCGCCGTCACCATGCAGTAGTCATTCGGGCGCGCGCTTGCATGCACCCCGCGCGCGCACGGCCAGATATAACGTCACCAGCGACATGAAAGTGAATCAGAATCACAATCGTGATTGATTGAATTGGCGGGCGACGGCGTGCTTGTGGATTGGACATTCCATTGACATTTGATTCATTCCTCTCCAGCTGCTATTCAATTCTATTCTATTCTGAAATTCTCAAAGGCGTTGTTGATGAGGCCATGATTAGCAAAAGCGATCCAAGCCTCTTTCCAACTGTGACTTCTTGCCTCTCCTCTGCACATTCCTCCAAGCTTCGTCGCCAAGCATCGGGGCGCGCTTCCAAGCGTCTTGCTGTCCAAAGAGCAGCGGCAACTCTACGCAATGCAATGCGCAGCCTTCCAAGGACTGTGCAAAGGTCATGCAATCCAAATCCAACTCGTACAGCGTCACCTCCCAACCCTTTTTCGCGCAACCTGTGTGCCAATCGTCGAGTGGGCTGAGCAAAGTCGACGTACGTTGCCAGGCCCTGCGATGCCCAGACGATCGCCTGGACGTGCCCATGCAGGCACACCGTACGACTCCAATCTCAGATCCACAAACACCGCCCCCATCCCACTTGTTCCATGCCATCGGCGCAAAGACGAGGTTGAGCCGCGGCATTCTTCGATGAAGCTTTGGCTTGCGCAGATGTATAGCAGCTCGGCCATGCTGGCGTTGCTGGGTGTCGAGCCGGCTGGTAGTGCGCCGATGAGATCATCGGCGACTTTGGAAGCTTGCGATGATGTCAGGATCGTCGATGCGGGCGAAGATTGCAAGATGGCTCGATCGAACAGCGCTTGAGGATGGTCCATCAGTGCTGCACGTGGCGCGATGGCGATGGCGATGGCGATGGCGATGGCGATGGTTGTGGTTGTGGTTGTGGTTGTGGTTGGACATTGCCTCGCCTCGTCAGCGGCGGTCCCTTCCCTCTTCCTCACGCGCGCGCGCGCTCTCCACTCCACTCCACTCCACGCACTCCACGCACCCCAACTCAACTCACTCTGAATTGTAAAAGCACCAGCGCTCTGTCCAAACACTGTGATCCTGCTAGCATCCGCCCCCCAAAGCCTGTGCATTCTCCCTGACCCACTGCAAAGCCTTGACACAGTCATCCACTCCCAATGCCGTCGCCGTCGCCGTCGCCGTCGCCGTCGCGGTCGCCGTCGCCGTCGCCGTCGCGCGTCACCCGTGCAATTTGTGGGCCTCCCCGCGCATTTATCCGACTAGCTCATCTCATTCTCCTTGAGCACCAAGCGTCCAGCCGAGCCGAGCGGGTGCGCTATATAGCATCCATTCGCATTCGCGAAATGGGGGGGCAAGTAAAAGCGTTACAAGCTGCGTGAGGGAGGGGATTGCAAGGAATGGGGAGATGAGGGCAGCGTTGCGTCGGAGCGCAAAAACGCAAAAGGCATGATTAAAAGTGCAAGGCAAGGTCAGGTCAGGTCAGGTCAGGTCAGAGATGGGGTGCATAGAACGCTTCAGCGCATCGTTCGTGCCCAAACTCGAGAGATGGAGAAACTCACAAGTATTCCGACAATGTCCGTTTGGAGGGTATGCTTTGTGATCTGTTGGGCGGGCGCGGGCGGAAAGGCGCGGAGGAGTGGGCGCATCAGGTGATGGATGCATCGGCATTCGCATTCGCATTCACATTCACATTCACATTCACATTCGCGTGGGCACCATACTCCAAGCGCGTCCATG